CTACGCCAGAATGGTTTAACAAGCGCGTCCCACGATAGGCCCCGTGACATGTAATAATTGGCTAGGTCCCAAACCGTGGTTCTTTTTACAGACTTTACGGAAGTTTCTAAATACGCCTGCTAAAAGTAAAGTGTCCGTTTCGACGTAGAGATCGTGGTAGTCGCCAAGATTTTGGCAGTCGAACGCTTGCCACACGTTTTAGGCGCGTACATATTCTTTTGTAAAAGACTGCAACTTCAACCAGCCGTAAAAAGCGCCTAAAGGAGGCAGTTTTATTTCTTAAATCGATCAAAGGAGTCTATATACTCGTAAGGATAAATTCCTTTCTCTAAAAGCAGGCCCGTATTGTCATCTGGGAACCTTTCGCGGAGCAACTTGAAATCTTTGGGAGAACAATTTTTAACCAATCGATCTAACGAAGCTGCCATGAAATGAAACGAGTCGAGGAACCTAAGTTGGCCAAAGCTAAACGAAATGTAATTTTCGGTGTTTTTAGCAATGACGTTGATTTTACTACTGTCGAACGCGCTACCACCTAGCATAATTAGAAGCGCATCATACTTTTCCAAGTTTCTCCAATTCCTCAATTTCATGGCTCTCAGGACTCTCTAATATAGAATATTTTGAGTGCATAACTTTTTTTAATGAGCTCGGCGGACATGTTTTGGGCCTTTTTGCAAGGGTGCACCCATAAGGGTGGTCGAGGCATGGGTACTGGATTAAATGGCATGGTCATCAGTCAGAGCTCGAGAAGGGGGACCCGTCCGGAGATTGCGGTTGACTGTTACACGCCTGAATGCATCTGATGACGAAGTTTCAGACATCGGTGGGCTCGATGGGTCTTCAGGTAGGGTGATGACATCTACCACTGGCATTACTGAACAGAAGACCTATGGACGAAACACACACACACACACACGGTAGGCTGATAGAGGGATTTCACATTAGCGCCGTATGCGCTTATCTGCATCGAAACCAAGGCTCTCTGTGTTGAACTTCCTCGCGTGCGCCCGCGGAATCCACACAGTACATGGAGTATCCGGTTCGTAAGTGTGACGCCACTTTAGTTTTAACCAAGCCCACTGCACAAGACACATGACCATCGCAGGTACGTTAGTTCGCGGTCAATTGTCGTTATTTTTTCTTTTGATTTTACGTGTCGAGTCATCCTGAAAGACTCTTCCACAAAAATTTGCGGCCCGAAAAGTCTGAATTTAACATACCGTTATATATTTTGTGTCTTGACTCCTTACTTTCAATCGTCTGATCGTATCAAGAATTGATGCTGACACATACAGCCTCGTTTTCAAACGCGGAAGTGCGCAGATCGACGCTAAAAGCGTCGTATTGGGATCCCTCTATTGTATCGCGCTTTCTTCACCGGAACAGCTCCATAAAAAGGTAAATCAGTTCCCAGAGAGCAGATTTCTCTATATCCCACCTAGCTGGCCCCCAGCACAGGAATCTCAGGTGCTAGCCGGCAGTTTGATGCGTAGTCTAGCGATTGGTCTATGAGAAAAATATTCAAGTCGCGGTCAGGGTTTAGTATGCGTGACCTAGACTCACAATCACCAGGGGCCACACGAGCAACCAACGTACGGTGGCCCGGTAGAGTGTGCATGTGGTTCCTCCATGCACGGTCAGATGTCCCATAAACTGGACAGATCAAGGCAGTGTCATAGGGGCAGAGCTAGATTTGAGTCGTAAATAGAACCGGGTTAAAATGGAATTTCAGGCTGTACATGGATTTCACATTAGCGCCGTCTCCGCATATCCGCATCGAAACCGCGGCTCGACACAGTCCATGCAGTATCCAGTTCGTGAGTGTGGTGCCACTTCAGTTTAAACCATCGCAATTACGTTACTTCGCGGTAAATTGCCATTACTTTATTTTGATTTCACGTGTCGAGTCATCCTGAAAGACTCTTCCACAAAAATTTGCAGCCTGAAAAGTCTGAATTTAACATACCTTTATGTATTTTGTGTCTTGACTCCTTACTTTCAATCGTCTGATCGAATTAAGAATTGAAGCTGACACATACAACCTCGTTTTCAAACGCGGAAGTGCGCAGATCGACGCTAAAAGCGTCGTATTGGGATCCCTCTATTCATGGTGACGGACTGAGCACGTAGTCGGTCGTAAACGTTGAGTATGCTCCTGGTTCTTTTCAGAACCACACATACTCATAAGAGATATATATATTCCTTCGCATGGTGCTACCACAAGCCTTTCCACCTAGAGCCAGATTAAGTTGAAGAATGATTATTAGTATAACTATTAAATGAATTTAGTAAGAGCAAATGCAATTTTTAAAAATGCATGGGTAAATGGGCGCCATCGTGTATTAGACAGACCGAAGAAGCAGGGTGTGAAGCTGGAGATAAAACTGGATATGGAGCCGGAAGTGGAGCCGGCTACAGTCCGGGTGAGAATCCGGAAGGAGATACCCACACAGGGCATCCGGATCTGGGGCAGTCGCCAAGTGGTGCAGATTGACTCAAGGCGGCTGGCTAAGGTGGACAGCGTCCCCGAGAGAGCGGACCGCCATCATCAAACCCGATGAAGAAATATCTTGCCCAGGTGTAGAGCGGTATTTCTTGCATTTACGCTTCTTATGTGCGGTAATCCGGTTGTAGAACCCGAAGAAAGAACCTACGAGCCCCGAACATCATTTCATTTATTTATTTTGCAGGATTATAACACAGAAAATTTACTCAATTTACAAATTTAAAAGATAAAAAAACCCTCTAAAGCACTCCCTTTTCAAGTTATCTGCTGATGATATTGTCATCATATGAGGTCAATTTCCGTTTGTAAACCTTCCCTTCCTAACGTCCTGCAAGGTGTAAACCCAATAAGACATGTACAATACAATATACAATACAAAACACTATACTTATCGCGGAAAAGGCACAGAGAAGATGAATCTAAAACATTTGTCTCTTTTGGCGTTCCGTACAATGCATCTGCTCTCGGCAGCACGTGGTCGGCATTTTGCCAAGTCCCGAGTACATGCCCTACGCACTGTGCGCCGTCTATGTTGCAGGCAGATATTGGGCGTCAACACAAGCACACAGTAGCATACGCACAGCATGCATACGCGCACGCACAATACTGCATTGTTTGCCGCGGTGCATTGTGGGTGAAAGGTGGGGATGTTGCTGGAACGCGCCGACGTGACACGTTATGTGTAACGTATACTGTATGGCGTATGTATCGAGCTGACACGGAAAAAAAACACATTCTCGATTATCGTCCGAAATGGTCCATGTGAACTGCTGTGTTCCATTGTGTTTATCAAGCACTCAACGAAAGCCAGAGCTGCGTTTTTTTAACTTCCATGGGACCGCAAAAGATTTGGATAAGTATTAAGTTCAGTGAGAAATAAGTGCCATCAAAGCGAAGTCCATGTGGACCTCTCTATGCCATTTTGTAGGCGGAGACAAAACTTACGATGTACCGGATCCAACGATTTTCCCGTGGACAAGTGAGTGGGAGGGGGTTGTTTCCCGGCAAAATGAACAACGAAGAAGCTTTCCTGCTACTGCAAACCTAAAACATCGTAAGTTTTGTCTCCGCCTACAAAATGTTGACTGCATACAGAGGTCCACTTGGACTTTGCTTTGATGGCCATATTTCTCACGGAAATCTGTCGCCTTTCGCAGTCCTGTGGAAGTTACAAAAAACGCAGCTCTGGCGTTTGTTGAGTGCTTGATAAACACAATGGAACACAGCAGTTCACACGGACCATTTCGGACGATAATCGGGAATTTTTTTCGTGTCAGGTCGATATACACGCCATATAGTATACGTTACACATGACGTGTCACTTCGAGGCGTTCCTGCAACATCCCCCCTTTCACCCACAATGTATGTACGGCGGTAAACAATTCACTACGTCATTATGTTGTAGGTCTATTTTACCATAGAGCTACAAACCCAATGGCACTTGCTGCAAACAGAATATCTAAATATTATAAATTTAATAATAAATCACTTGATGATGTCATCATGACTTAATTATTTTAGTATTATTCAAGGTCTCCAAGACCTTCAAGGTCTTTCTTTTGTGTAACTTCGATGACATTTGCATATTGCTGAACAACCAAAATATTGCCTTGAAAACGTGTACAAAGTCAATGGGCTGAAAGAAATATTGAAAAATTGATAATAAATCACTTGATGACGTCATCTGGACGTCATTGTTTTAGGACCATCTATGCATAAGGGTCCTTCATTGGTACAAGTTTGATGAGGATCCAAACTTAAAAACACACAAGTCTTGTTGAATAAATGTCCAGGTGTTTTCATGTACAGAAACACAATTTCCTATTTAAGAAACACCCTTAGTCTGTTTTATGCTGATTGTAGCAAAGTGATGATTTGATTCACTTCAAGTTTCGCAAGAATGAAAATGACAGCAAACTTATTTTCAAGTATTTTTGTACAAGGGACTTTCATGTATGATTTAGAGGGGAAATGTCTTTCATAACTCAGTTAAATAAAACTATACAACATACTTAAGCAATCGCCAATTGTCACCAAATAATTTAAGCAAAGAAATCAAATTGATAGTTCACACAATTAATTAATAATTTTGTTAAATACTGACATCGTGAATGCAATTATAAATCAAATGGCCCTAAATTTGATAGGAAAAGACACGACATGAAAAATCAGAATTTGTGGCATTAAAATCTTGAATAATAAGTCAAGAACATGTATTTTTATTTAAGGGTCATACTCACCACTTGGACTGCCTGTTCATGCCTCTCTCCCTTTCCAGAAGACAAGATGTAATTGTTGAAAAGTAGCGGACAAAATGCAACAGAATAATGCAACCGGCAAAGATGCCTGTATTTTTGTGGAGGCAACCACACAGAAGGCACTTCTCTAAAAGTATTCTCGCTATCGAAGTGGCTACAGCTAGCAAAAACTGTGAAAGTTGGTACACTGGAAAAAGCATGAAAAGGGGAACTGGTGTTGGGCAAGAGCAGGGTGAGAACTTGACCTGGTTACACATTTTTATTCCATTCTTGCAAAATGAAACAAAGAAATTAGAACGACACCACCCATATTTCTTGCATATTCTTTTCCTATAGAAAGAAAAGCCAAGTTTTGCTCTTTTTGCATGTGGCATTTCAAACAGAAGGATTTTAAGCTTCAATGTTAGTGGTTTGAGTAGTACAATGTACTGACTTCTCTGTTTAAAACTGGACTTGGCCACCTTTCATTGGATGGCCACATTTTTAATACCCCAAGCTCTGGAAATGTACATGTATGTGGGCTCTGATAAATCACTGCAACATGTCATCACACTGTTAACGTGAATGTGCTTACCACTTAAAAAAACTGAAATTTTAAACATCTTTAAGCCCTGCTTTCAAAGGACTCTATTTGTCATTATCAAAAACCTAATACAATCAAAATCTTGTGCACCGTGAGTGGTGAGCAGCTGTGTTGGATGCCCACATGCACATGTTTACAATGTGGTGACATTGGCAGTAACTTATCAAGGCCCACATACAGGCAGAATGGATGCCAAGCAATATAAAGACCAATGAAAGGTTAACACATCAGTTTCCACAGCTATAAATTCTTCGTCTAATGTAGTGAGAGGGATATAAAAAGCCACCTACTGTGTACCATCATCCGACTTTGTGACAAGCATACAGATCCTACAGTACACTGTACTTAGTCCATGATTACAGTATTGTAATTTTTGGTATGCAATTACCTTCCTGCAGCTCATCTAACGAAACAGGGCATTACTGATTGTGATAGCAATAATAGCAACCCTTTTTGGCAGATGATTTTCCAGCTAAAGATTGCACATCAAAAACAAAACAAAAAGGCCTTGAACCAAATAAAGTAGATACTACAAAAGCTGTAAATTTATAAGTTTTTGCATTTAGTTGCGTAACATTACTAAACCTGAACAGTACAAAGGTGTCAAAATCTTCTGCAAAAACTATACACACTGCTCAGCAACTCTGGCATTCAACACTCCTCTTTACAAGATGAAGCATACACTGCACATTATGATTGATACAGACTAATGTCAGAACTACCTTTGAGATGACTGTCATGATGAACCAGCAAAATCACTTAAGCTGATTCATTTGACAGTATTCTTACATTGCTCAAGTTTGATATTTTCCTGTTGTGTTTTGTGTGCACTGATTGGATACACAAACATGTAGATACAATGTATCCTGAACATACTGAAGCTGGTTGTGATTGAAAGCACAAATGGAAACTCAAAGCATGTATACATGTTCACTGGGACATGAATAAGTACTTGTGAATAACTCTATAGAGTTGGCCATAACCCTAAACTGCAGTGCAAGAAGGCTGCTGGAAAGACAAAAACGAACCAAGGTATTTCTTTTTATATTACATGGCATGGATGATGCAAAAGACAGGGTGGTGTGTTTGTAAAATAAAGTAAACCAATGAAGACAACAATGTTTAATGTACAACATTGGAGAAAAAAATCTAGAGACTACATTAATTTGCCAGGGGTGGGGGAAAATTCCAAGTAACCACACACGATACACTGTTTGCTTTATTCAATACTTATGTCAAAATCAACACCATGGAATTCTAGTATTTACAATTTGAAGGCACATTTGTAATCAGACTTTTGATTCTAGCCATAATCCATTTTGAATTCTCCCTAGCTATAACACCACATTCACACATAATTATTGCTGAAATATACAAATAAGTATTGTTCAAACGGTTACTATAATAATACCTTTTAGAGTTCACTAGTTGATCAAATTGGATTTACCAACGGACAGAATGATATTTTAACAAGCTCGGCTGAGAATAAGTTGAGGTATCTTTTCTTGCAAAGAATATCAAAATGTGAACAAGCAAAAATATCACACAACCTCATGGCCCTGGCCCCAGTGATGGAATACTCGTACTTGAGTACACCTGAGCACTCAGCGTGTACTTGATTATCAGTACACAAAAATTAATTGTACCTGGCTCATACCCCATTATTTTTACTTGGATTTTCGAATACATGTACTTTACCCTCAGGTACTTGACCATCGTACATGGCAGTTTACGTTCATTTGACTTTCCTCACAAACTTCTTTCTTGAAAAACTCCAAACTCATTTGATTCAAAACTGGTACTCTTATACCTCCATAATGCATGGTGTTGAAACTCCGTGAACGATTTCAGTGTCATGAAATTTCATTTGAAATCTAAAACTATCAACATCCAGAAATTTGGCTTGAATTCAGTTGAGTGTTCCCTAACATGGCACACTTAAAAAATCTCAGAAAATCCAACAAAAACGTTTTCAAAATTTTTTGAAATTTATAAATTCTTGTAAACCATCATTATTCCACCCAAACACCCATCAAGTTTGTCAGAAAATTCTTTCCCTACTTTGGGGCACATTTTAAAAGAGTTCATTTCGCCACTCAGAAAAATCTGAAAATCGGGCAAAAATAAAATTTCATCCAAACTTTGTAGCACGTAAAATTGATATGTATGAATCAGAATATTAGGACTTTAATGAAGTTTCACTAATAGTGAAATTTGAGCTAAAATATTGCTCACACAAGAAGTGAAAAATGAAAGTGCACCACAATAGGGGCTGCACCATGTTGGGGCACATCAACAATATACATGCAGATTGGTTGGGCCTACATGAAACACTCCTAGACACAATTTCTGTGTAGACTGCCTCAAACTGGTCAGTTGATTTGGTTGTCTCACTATAAGTACAATCAGCTGACGACTGACCAATCAACTTTTAGCAGATTTCAGCTTAAAATGACTTCATCCTTTTTTATTTGCTAGTGCATGGGGTCACCTAAAATATCCATGCTCACACATATCAAACTGTTTTGGAGCCATGGGTCTGTTGCCTAATGGAAGAGACTCGGATGTTACCTACACACATCACAAATGTTTTAAAAAACCTAAATCGGCAAAATAAACCCTTTTATGCTCAGCAGAAAATCTTTTATCAAACTTCAATTGAACGAAGCCAACGCAGAGGGCAAAGCTCTGTTCCATGTATGAATGTAGTTGTGGCTCTTTTCTATTGTTAATCAAGAGATCAAGGATTTACAACCAAACACACAATCTTGATTCCTCATGACACCACTCTTTTATACAGTTCAACAAGTGTTGTTTTATCAAGCACCTCCCATTGGGTCTTAACCAAAGTTCCAAAACAATTGTCTCCCGGATTTATATAAAAACTCAATATTCCTAAATATTCTAAAAATAATAAGGCCTGAGAAACAACAAAATCTCTTTATTCTGTCAAAACTATTTCCTAAGTAACAGCATGTACTGTATGCTGTACCATTTTGTGACAGAAGTGTCAGCGTCAGCTTATGAACACTTTTATTGATGTTTGTAAATGTGTTGGCTGTTGTACATACGGGTCAAAGAACTTGACTTACAACCAATTTCGTCTTCTTATACATCTGTCTTTAATACTTAATTTTCATTGGCCCAGTTTGATCTCATGACTGGGCAACAAAACATGTCATCCTCACTGTTGGCCATCACACCATATCGAGAAATCAGATGATTCCCCAACCCACAGTCTAAAACATAATTTGGGGACTGCCAACCAGCCTATTGAACAGGCATGCAACTTTGATTTAAAAAACAAAATAGGAAAAAACTAGAGGTTGTGTGTCTGTCACAAGGATCTTTTTTCTTCACATGGGTTTTTTCGCCTTTTGTTGTTCTGAAGAAAAGTGCCTTGTTGGCATATCACTAACTGCTTTAAAATATCGAGATTCATATACTTACATGTACAGGTTTTAACCAAAAGACATGCACTTCAGGAGAGATAGTGATTCCAAGAGTGCACATTTAATGTAACATTGTAACACAGTGTATATGTACAAATTGGATTTTCGAGTATGAAAATATAGCGAAATACATTTTTGTTGTCGGCGCTTCATCTGTGTGAACAAGTAGACCAGTTATGCACCTACTGCAATAGACTTTAATGTTTAAGCTATCATATTAATGGCAATTAACACTTCTACCTTTTACGGTTGATTTTTTAGGGAATTTTGAAGAATAAAAAGACTTTATAACTTCTGATGACGTCATCGGCCCCAACTTTCACACATGTATTCACTGGGAAAAGATCATTATATACATCAATTTTCAGCTGATCCCAACTAGCTTTGCCACAGACATCTATTCAAAGTTCATTTTTCAGAATTTTCAACCTGTCGCTAGAGGGCATTAAACAATTCTGTGAAGTCATTTGTGGATGTTTTGAAGAATACTATACCCCCACCAACTAACACCGTTGAAAACAAGTTGATACCTATTACCACTTTCAAACAATACGCCCACTTCTGGTTTCGACCAGATGGAAATGTCACATGATTTGACCCACACAAGATAAATAGAAGAGCAAATTTTACGCTGTCACTTGCGGCAAACAGAATGTTGTGGGAGGCTATGGTTGATTTCATATGGATTTTAAAAAATGTAACATAATATTTAAATGTTCAAAATTCGCTAATAATTCACTTGATGATGTCATCACAACGTCATTATTTTTGTACCATGGCAGCATCCAAATCTCGTCTAGAGCTAGGTCCAAGTCTTCTCTCCAATGGAAATATGTGGGAACACAGAGACAATAGACCTAGCCGTAGCTCTGGAAGCCCGTTTTGGACACGGCCTATGCTTGCTTTAAGGTCTGTGCTTGGTGTAACTTAGATGATGATCAACCATTACCAAGTTATCAATATTGTGTCTTGAAGACGTGTACAACATCAATGGGCTGAAAAAATATATTAATATATCAATAAAAAATCCCTTGATGACGTCATCATGATGTTATTGTTCTATGCACATCTTTGCACTGAGGTTCGTCACTGGTCAAAGTTCGATGACGATCCAAATTTGCAAAGGGACCAAAGGCATGGGTAGAAAAATCGTGCACAAATTGAATGGGGCTTTGGTCAGATGAGGAAGAAACTAGAGCTTATCTGTCTGTTTGCCAACAGAACAGAGGGCTTTTTCGCATTCTTTTGTAAATTTGAACAACTACGTCATCACATCAGGTCAATTTTCGTCAATCAAACTTCCTTTTGTAGTTACTTGCAAAGTTTCAACCCGATGGGACGTGTACTTCAGGAGATAGAGGGCTATAAAGAGTGCACCTTTAATATCCTTGACTTGTCTCCTGATTATGTCATCATCACATCATTTCAATATCTGTCTATAGCACTTCCCTTTCTAGTTATCTGTGAAGTTTCAAACCAATGGGACATGTACTTCAGGAGATTTCGGGCTGTAAAGAGTGCACCTTTAATGTCACCTGACTTGTGCCCTGATGACGTCATCATCACATGAGGTGAATTTTTGTCTAAAGTACTCCCCTTCTAAGATGTCTGGAAGGTTTGAATCCAATCAGACATGTAGTTCATGTGATATAACGCTTTGAAGAGTGCACCTTGAATGTCACGTTATTTGTCACCTCTTCACATCATGATTGTGTACTTAAGGTTCATGAATGAGTATAACACATTCCTTCCAAGCAACCTGCAAGGATTTTAACCCAATGGGATATGTACAATACAAGTCACACTGTGTTCATTAAGAAATAGCACAGAATAAGTTTTATCAGATTTAAAACATTTTTGTCTTTGGGCGTTGTATACACACAAAGTGATCTGACAGCAGCGCACAGTTTGGCAAGGAGCCAGCCACTGCCCGGAGTATGTATATGCACTGTGCAATGTCTTTGTTATAAGCAGATGTAAGGGTTCCACTGCATAAAAGCCACTACACAGAGTATATGTAAAAATGGGATTTTGGTACGCAAATATTGCGTGTTTTGTCATCAACGCTTCATTTGTGTCAACAAGTTGACCAGTTATGCACTTCGTGTAATGGACTCTAATCTGCTATCTAATGGACATTTCACGCTGTTAGCTCTCACGGTTGATTTTTTTTAGGAAATTTTGAAAAATAAAGACTTTTTAACATAACTTCCGGTCTGATGATGTATCAGCCCCAAAGGAAGTAATGCCTCTTTCACAGAATTGCAAAAAAGCCCAAAAATCAAACCAAAATGAATGCCCTTTTCATAAAATGCCAAAAAATGAGGACATTTCCGTCTTTACCAGACTTTATACAGTGTTTTTCAACATTCAATGGCATGAGTTTGAAGTAAAAAAACAAGGAAATCCGCCGATCTGAGGGAAAGTTGCATGCCTGATTCAATGAGAACTCTGCTCTTTAAAAAATTCATGGTACGATTGACGACAATAAACTCTTGTTGGAGTAGTCAAGTGACATTTTGATATACTAAACTGTTGATTGATTCTTTGTTCAAGTTCTGAATAATGTCTGATGAGCATTAAGAAACAGGTAATTTTCCTAAAAAAAAAGTTTTTCAAATGTAAAGATATTGCTTTTGAGCAGGACACATGCAACCAACACATCAAAATTGATATGGCGATGCACCAAGTCCGCATGCCTCAAACAACTGTGACACTTGTCATTTCAATTCAATTTGAGACATACGGGTGAGGAAAAGTATTCTAGACAGGTATAACAATTATTGACTGCTGCAATGTAGGCCATGATGTTTGAACACCTCTAGGGACACCTCGCACCCTTGGGTTTGTCTAAGGTTCAATGATATGTCAGCCCCCTCCCCCAGCAGCCATGGTTTGTCTAAGGGTCCAAAAACATTGTACCCCATATCAAAGTCAACTATACACAGTCAGTCAACTGGTAATCTCAGAGTACACTTTAAAATACATACTCTACTATGTCTCTTATTTACCACCCATGACAAAATCATCATCATCATCTGTGACACTGCGAGCAATCCTTGGTGTGCTGGATCGACTGCCAGCTCGGCTACTCCGTGGTGTAGTATGACTGCCACGTGCCATTACTGGACTCTGGACAAGTTCAACAGCCAGCAATTTGGGCAAAGAATACAAAACAAATGTCAACAGAATGGAAAGGAACTTTAATGGAAAGAATTCAAACAACTAACTTTAAGTTAAGCCCTAATTCTTGATGCAGGTTGCATCAACTCAGCACTTAGAGACCAAGAATTACAAGAATTCTGCATTTTTCTGGAACCTTCCTGAATCTTCCCAATCCACCCCTTTAAGCAGGAAGCCAATTGCACATCCTTTGTACTTTTGTATCAAAGTGGCTTAGCTCTACTTTCTTAAATTTTGAGCAAATATTTCAATGCAGCCTGATGGACTGTGAGGGATAGGGGAGGCAAGGGTCAAAGTTTATAATCTTGAATAAAGGAGAGGGCTTAATCATAATGTCTCAATCAATCAGAAAGATGCATGGTCAGATTGCCTATCAAGAAAATGCCTTCTTTTCTTCTCACATTTACATACTTCAGCTATGCAACGTAGCATCTAAAAAATTACATTCAAATAGGCTAACAATAATTTAACATTTATAATGTGCAAATATCACATGGACGATCAAAGGCGCATGTTATTGTCCTGTTCCTGTATTTTACAATCTGCTCACAACTTAGATTCTATTGAGGCTTTCTTTTGGTTATACAGTAGCTTTACATAGGTATTACAAATACCTAAGACAATGAGCTCATCACATGACCAGTCTTTAAGAGTTGATAAAACACCAGCTTGCAGAGTTACATACCAACACATGATCAGAGGGGTGGTTTTTAAAAAATTGAAACAAAAAATTGGAGTTAAATTGGTCAACAAAAATTGTTGGAAATTATTACATTTCTAACTTGTTTTAACCTTCTGACTCGGGACATTTCATGTCCCTTGCACTCACTTGCTCTATGCATTCTGCACCACAGGCTACAAAGTACATGCCATGCACATGCCTTTTTCTATACAAAGTGATTGTTTGACTAATCTCACCAAACCATAGCATGAAAGGCTAGAGGAATGTTTGAATAAGATAAAGTAAAATTGTTGACATACATGTCAGAAGTCAGCAATGAAATGTCAAGCAAGTATTTCTGAAAACAATATTTATAAGGGATTTCAGTGAGTTAATTAACAAATGCTAGGGTACATCTGCGTTTCACCAGTATTTTGTGTTTTGATCATATTTTAGGTCAAAGGCCCTGGCTTTACTTCCCTGATAGAGTTTCATACTTGTGCAACCTATCAACGTGGCCACCTGTGGGCAAATGTACATGCACTTACCACAAATGACACAGACCACTCAAAATGTTAGCCCTTGTTTCATCGTATGATTTTACTCCACTTTTGAGCCATTATCTTTAGTCCAAAATATGTTTCTTTTATTTAAAGAAAATTTAAAATGTTTGGAAAGAGTTCTTGAAAAATTTGGGAGTCAAGGGAGATGGTGGTGTACCCGAAAGTTCAGGATAGCAGTGCTCAGCATAAGGACATTTCGCAGCATGTGCAAATCCGAGTTTTCACGTCACAATTAAACTAATTGAACTAATTTGAGCTAATTAATAATTAGCTCAAAGTGGTTCATGCAAAAGACAGGCAGCCAACTGTAGCTCAACTGATCACTCTTTCATTACTTACTGACAAAGTAATTTGATGGATAAAAATGTAATCCCCAATTCTACCTGGAGCCATACAAAAATGATGGTATTATGAGATTTGGAAATTACAAAAATTATTATGTACACAATGAAATGGCATGACTTCAGAGCATACAGAATAAATTACATTCATAGACACATTCGGAAAGTTGACAAATTGTACTGGTTGAAAGTTCATCAAATTGTTAGGTTTAGACTCCTGTTATCATACCACTTGCGGCCAGGAACCCAGTTTCGGGTTTCGTTTTCTTTATACCTAATGCCAGGCTGCCTGAAACCAGACAAAAGAGCTGGACCTTGTAACAAAAGACCGTACTCGCAACAAAAGACCAAGCTGCTGGGAATTTCCAACATTTTTCAGTTGTCAATAGAGGAGGAAATCCATCATTGTTTAGAAAGATTACAAAGCTGTTTGTGGCATTCAGTGTGAGTGGATTACCACTGGGGACAAAAGCGCTCCAGAGATGAGCGATACAATACCGCTACACGCTAATCTGGCCCCTGCTGAAAAGACATCCGCAAAGTCAGCAGGTTTCGGGAACAAAAGAAAATTACCTAACACCACACAATCTGGGCTCTTTTTACAAGGTGGCAGGCCTGGCTGAAATACTTTAAGAAGTTTAAAAACAGAAAACAATGAAAAATCACCCGGCACAGCAGAATCAACAATGGATAAATGGGCCCGGTGGGAAGTGGTTAATGCTAAAGTGGTTAATAAGTCTGAGGTATGGTAAAACAAATAAAACATGGTTTATTTGTGAGGATAGTATATATTAGCTCCCCTAAAACCATGCCACATTTGTATAATAAAACATCCCTGAAAGCCTCTGTGCGACATCATGTGATATGTACGATGTACTATATGCACACAGTTCTCCAAGATGTTCAGCACTATGTTGACAGGCATACACATGTAGAGTAAGGGTGTGTCACACACTATGATGCAAATGGGTATATTTGTTGGAAATTTGTTAGTTCTTTACTTTTTTGATAGTTTGACAAGATATTAATGAATGGAAACAACAGTATGCCGAAACTGTTTTGACAATAATGTTCAAATCAAGCGAATGATCCATTCAATGACAGCACCCACCCTCCCCCCCTGAGTTGGTTACAAACATGTATCATACATTCAAAGCACATTATCCCTTCTGTCCATAGTTAGCCTAAACATTGCTACTGTGCCCATCAACTCATTTGATTCCCTTCTTTCCTTTCCCCTATACCAGGCAATGGCACACTGACTGTTCACAATATTCCTCATACTAACCGTTAATTGAAGCAGCTCAAGTAATTCACACACACTTCAACCTAGTTTTTATATAATGGATTAGAACTGTGCACAGGGCTTAAACATTTCTGGCAATTGTTAAACACCTCATTAAAAATAAATGCCCTGCTTAGACTTGTTCAAGCGCCCCTTCCTGTAAGTTGTGTATTCGTCAATGTTACTGCTACCATTGCGTGGTGAGATGCCTGACTTGCCAGTGGGAGGCCGCCCTCTGGAGGTGGGCTGGTGATTGGTCAGCATATGATGACGAGGGTGAATAAAACATGAATGACGAGGTGGAAAGGAGGATGAATAATTAGTGATGGTGATGAGATGAGGGAAAAGTTCACACAGTTAGAAAAGCACAACTTCTATATGATACCAGAGTTGTAAGTTGCATCTCAGATCATTTTTATTTCCCAGATATTTGCAACATAAAACTGAGCATGATGATTAATGGAAAGTCAAATCAATATATAAACAAAAATGTGTGCACACTGTCTTTCAGCTAGGTCACACAAGGAATTTTTTCCCCAGGCAACTTGGAAGCTATTCAATGTTACTACATACTAAAGGAACCCTGGGTTCAACAGATGACATTGTTTCTGACAGTTCATGTGAATTCCTTCAACATACAGATTTCAAGTCCCCATGACAAAAGCACAGCAACTCTTGTTGAGTTGAATCCAAGGGAAAAAAGTAAAAAAATTCTGAGGTATTCTGATTTTGAATTAAGCAGAATTTCCATTTTTTCTATAATCACATTAGATGTACACATGTCTATAGAGAGTTCCCACTCTAACTGGCTCTGCTCAGCTGGACTTTTGAAATACATGAAGCTATCAATGCTGGCCTTTTGAGTTTACAACATACAACCTACATGTAGGTTTGTTAACTGGAATTTCAAGGTATTCAACATTGAGTCACCAAGAGTTTACGGAGTGCGAAAGTGTTTGAAAGGGGCAGAAATGAAGAATATTACAGGCTGTATTTCTTCATGTTGACTTTCCCAGGACATAAGCAGCGACACAGAGGGGCATTCACAGAAAACAATTGTGCCAAATAATAAATTAGGGTCTACCATATTAGTGAGTTCCACAACCAGTGTTTAAATGAAGAAAAAAGTTCACATCTTACCTCTCGATCTTTCCGAGCTATGGACACAAACACACACAAAGAAAATTAGTCATTGGGGATTGCCCATTAAACACTGCAGCACTAGCCAATTGGATGAATTCCACAAATATCTCTTGCAGTCATAGCACAAACTGCATGTAGACCAGTCGACACTAACTGCCCTTTCAGACTCCCATGATTAGGCAAACAGTCCTCCCCCAGCTGCAGTACGAGGTCCTGTGATTAGGCAAACAGCCCCCTCCCCCAGCAGCTAAAGTAAAGGATCCTGTGATTAGGCAAACAGCCCCCTCCGCCAATGCTCTTTTTGAAATCAGAGGGTGCAATTCACTGACCTGATGTAGGTCTTGAGCCCTGATTAGTTGGCATCCTGAGGTTGGCAGTGCTGCCCCCAACCACGATGCTGTCATCATCTGAATCTACTATGTCCTCCTCTATCTCTGACCCTGCCCTTGAAGAGGCTGGGGTGAAAATTAGAAAAGATAATCCTTGAACAAATCTAAGGATGTGTAATGAAAAAATCTTCGCCAATTTCCTTCAACTTATCTTATCCCTGTACAAAACTGTAAATGCTATCAACTTTCATGACAGTTAAATAGCATATTTTGTCAATTAACCCCTAACTTTCACAATCCAGTGCAAAAATTTAAGTATCAAGTTTATTACGTTTATTTAGTGTAGAGAAATTTGTCAATGAGTCCTAGACCAAAAGTATCCGTCTGAGTTTTCAAGGTTTGAGAACGAGCCGATGAATACAAGCACACGAGTAGTTGAAAACAAGTAAATGCACACTGTAAACCAAATGAAACATCCTGGAAATCATGTTACAACTATTCCAATGCATACTCTGTGTATCTACAAATTAACACATGAACTAAATAAAGTGCCTTGAGTTTTATTAACATTTAACAAAAGATGTGTTTACAAATGTGACACAGGTTTAAGTGCTCAACTGTTTAGAGGTTCTCCATGATCTCCAAATGAAACCTGATTTGATTTTTAAGCACGACACCTTCCAATGAGTAACGTACACAGCCTGCAGGGCAAATTGATGTTTTTTTCTTTATAAAATTGTAGCACTCTAGTGCAGGGGGTGACTGGAGCATAAAAAAATAGCTAAAATTGCAAGCACCAAGCATATACGGCTTGGGGAGGTGTGGTGCATTTTACAGTCTCCTGGTGCTATCATTGGTCATTTTTTCTTTCAATTTATGCATATATTCAATTTAACTTTTTTCTTCATATTTGCCAGAAGGTTGAAATGAACTAGTTATTATACCAAAATTATAAATATCAAGGTTTATAGAGTAAGTTGGCCCTTTTCCAACGTGATTTGACCATGATTTCAATATTTCAATTCTTTGTTACAAACAATGCACACCAGATGTCCAGGCTTTTGGATTTTCCTGACATGGATTGTGTCACCTGCCAATCTACGGTGTGTTCCATCAACCTCCATTGCCACAGATTTGTAACTCAAGGATTGGTCTTGTTAAGATTGAATCCAAGGGAACCTTCTTGGACAATTATGCAAGTGTGTTGCAGTTTACGTCCAAAAACTGTTTGAAATCTCGTATAAAACGATGCACATAGAGCATGTAAAAAACCACATGATAATGCATGACACAAGACATAAATTGTCACAAAGCCATCTATTGGCAAAAGTGAATATTTACTAACGTTATTTCAAGTTGCAAATTTACAGTGGAATGTAAGTTACCATGAATTATAGTGAATTATAGTGGAGATTATTAGTCACTACTTCCCTTAAGTAGAAACGAATAACAAATCCCACTGACACACACATAAATGTCGATATTTCATTGGCAGCCAATCACAAGACAATGACTGGATGGCCTCAGGATGTTAACATACTTGTAGAAGGCTTCTGCTTCGAGCCACGCCATAAAAAGCCTGCACAGATTTGCATACACGTATACACCTACCGCACCTACATGTGCATGTACATGTACAGTAGATTCAACTGCATGCATTATCCAGTGTTGTGGTTTGGCATACAATTTGATGTTGGAGAAAGGACGTGTAATATTTGGCCTGGCTTCATAACAGCAAAAAAAAAGAAACAACTCAAAAATTGGTACTTCAGAAAGGAAGAAAAACAAGGAAAATCTGGCTTGTCAGAGGCAAAAAAGCGGAAATGAAATTTGGCAACAAAAAAGCTGAAATCTGCTGAAAAGTGGAGATTTCACACCCCTAAAGTTGCTTACATCTGGGATTATCTAGCTCAGTGTTTACTTACTGCACTGTGCTAATTCTGCCGTTTGGCAAAATTATTGGGGTTCCCAAAAACCAGTGTATGATTTACAATGAGGCAAACAGCTGAATGGTCGTATCACATGGTGACGATGCAGATCAACATGATATGTCCCACATAGCATGCTCTGCTGGTATCCATGTGTTAAAAATTTGGTAGTCGAATACGTACACTACTGACAGCACATTGAAAGTGCTCCACTCACGATCACAAAGACTGGATTAGTAGAGAATTGATAAAACAACAGTTAAGTGTAGAGTGTGCACAAGAACTTTTAGTTCTGAAGATTGTTTCAAAAACAGAGAAAAACAGATTTTTTACAAGCACAGGAATTGAGTATTGCATATGACATTCCAAGGTGGGGGCTGAGTCAGGGTGCAAAGGTGCAAGTATGACATGTATGAGACAAGTACTTGTTTTTCTAGAGTACTTAAAATCAATTACAGGCCAAGTACTTACTGGTACTTGAGTATGAGTACTCCAACAATGTTCTAAAGGCTGTTCGGATTGGTTTTAAGTTTTTAGAGATTGTTTCATGACTTTAAATCTTAGATTTAAACTTTTGGAATGATTTTTACCAATTTATTATATTTGAATGTATATGTATCACAGAATATAGGGTATTTTGACTGATGACTCTACTGTATAGGATTAAAGAAACATTTTGTGCTTGGTAATCTTTGCCATAATTACTGCTTGCAGGTGTGGTCTCTTTACTAGAGTTGTCAGCAATCTCGCAGAGTAGTAAGCTAATTATCTTACTATTGCCGTTGTTTCTGCTGTGTTGTGACCCCGAATGTGACCTGGATGACTTACGCCCTTCTTTTCCAGACAGCGAATTATCTTCACTCCTAGAAAGCAAAAAGGGAGTGACAATCAATAAATACTGCACATTAAATACAAAAAGAATAAAAACAATTCTACCCCGACTTTTTCACTTCGTCTAGCAGAGTAAATGGTACACTTGCGAGGCAATTTTTGTTGTCCTTTAGACTTCTTTTAAAAAAGCTGGGTAGATGCTCAATCTATTCTGAACAGAGTTCAGCAAAGGATAACAAATTTTGCAATGATGAAGAGATCAGTCCTTTGAATTAATACAATAACTACAGAGCAGTGCTCAGAATTTACCTTCTAAATGTCTAGTAACTGCTTTTGAAAGGAAATCCACAAACTGTGCATTTTTACTTTTAGAACGCTGCACAGGGTCACTCTCAAGAAGACAGTTATAGCTTTTCATTGAAAATAACAATAATCAATCATCCATCATTGTTGGCATGCAAGGAAAGAAGTTTGGAAGGCTGATAAACAATCCTGTGAAATACAACCATATCGACACTTAATTAAAACTCATGACATTTAGCCAGATGCTGCTGGGTTTAATTTGAAGTTGCAGGAAGTATACCCAGGGGATTTTCAGGATTTTTCCATTTTCTAAAATTCTTCAAAAATTCATAACTTCATTTACTGGATGTTTTCACCCACACAAATGACTGTCTGGTGGTTACTTTGATCTGACAGACAAAATCTACTGATGCCCGAGTATCTCCAGCCAGGCCTGCCGCCTTGTAAAGAGAGCCTAGATTGAGCAGTGTTACGTAATTTCTTTTGTTCCGAAACTGGCCAGTGCACTGCTGGGTCTTTTCAAATGCAGACCAGATTAGCTTGCAGTGGTATTGTAACACTCATCACTGTTCCCAATGGTAATCCGTTCGTGCTGAATGCTACAAACAGTGGTATAATCATTCAAAACAATGGCAGATTTCCTCCGCTCTTGACAACTGATAAAATGTTGGTAATTCCCAGCAGCTCCGTCTTTTGTTCTGGAGTATCGTCTTTTGTTACAAGGCCCGGCTCTTTTGTCCAATTTTGGGCAGCCCGGCTATGCATATAAACCCAAGGAGTCCGGTACCGGAAACCCTAGCACCAAGTGGTTAAGTCATTATCCCATTTCTTAGGATTACTTTTCGAAACACTCAAGCGGAGTGTATACATGTATATACACTTGGCAAACCATAAGCATGGCACTGTTCATGACAACATACACCATGAAAGGTGACTGGTAACCTGTTTAAGCAAATTTTTTCTGAGATTGGAAGATTTCTATGCTTATAGCATAGCATATGAAATTCCTTCAAGGTATAAACTTGAAGGAATTTCATAGAGATTTCATAGAAGCTTGTTAGAGTATACTATAACAACCTTCTGTGGTAACAAATTAATAGTCTACACACGTTTTCTTCATATAGTCCCTGCGGGACATGTGACCCCGGATAGCTGATTGGATGGTTAATGCTGCTTCATCCATCTCGCTATCATCCTCCTCATCGCTGTACACACTCCAGTCATTACGGCGACTGTTTGCATCTTGCTGCTTCATATGCTCCTTTCGGCTCATGTGGCCTCGCATGGCAGACTGGATCATCACAGCAGCCTATCAGCAGTGAGGCAGGAAATAAATTAAAAATGCACAAGACTAATTTTGATCACATGGTTGCAAAAACCAAAACCAAACAAAACGAGCACCCTTTGTCTGTGTGCAACAGACCAG